GGTTCGCCCTCGAAGAATTTTGGGCACGTAAATTCACCTGGGATTCGTCATCGAGTTTACACACCGACGCAAATTCACCTGGGTCTCTATGCTCACCAGTCTTCTCAGTGGGACTTAACTCCTGGTTTTGTTGGTTTTCATCTCGGCGCAGCTGCGAAGCTTTTCTGTGGAGCATTTCTTGAAGGGGGGGGGGGGGAGAAAGTGCTTTGCACTATTTCTTTCCTCGGTAATCTCGGCACAATTTCTGACTATGTCAGAATGCAGCAGCACGACGGAGGACCGCGATCGCTGCTTCACGATCGACGGTTTCTGCAAAATCGCGATTGAATTTCGCGTCAGCAGGTTCCCTCCAATCTCGCGTCAGTCTTCGACCGTCAGATCCACATCTGCTTCATCAACGGCCCACATTTCAACCTTCACTTCATATTGGGATAGTTCATTATCGACCGTCAGATCAAAATCGGACTACATCAACAGCCTACCTTCCAACCTTTTCAAAAATATTCTCGAAGGCATTTCGGCCGTCGGATTCAGCTAAAGGGGAGATCTACGGCATCCTTGCTAGTGTGGGGTCCGTTTTCAGTACAAGAAGACTACTTTATTTACAGAATCCTTACTGAGGTACTCGTTAGCGAGGCCATCCCGAGGGTCACACGACGAACCTGTCCTTCCTATTTCGTCGCACCGAACCACTCCCAAGTCGCCCCCGCCCCAATCGCAACCACCACCGAGCCATCCTCGCCCAACCTCTCCACCTAGCTATGACTTCCCCTATTTAGTCGTGCCTTTCTCATTGTATCGTCATTTAGTACTCAGTCATTCTCGTTATTCGTTTTACTGCGCACTCTGCAAGTTCATTCATAACACGAACTCGCCTCTCCACCATTTTTCATGGCGAGGTTGTTAGTAGATCTGCACTGTGGATGCCCGATTGATCCTGGAGAGGGTTACACACGGGTTCGCCTGGGGGGTTATAGGCGCACTGACCCGCTACTAAAACAAGCCTTTTTTATCCCAATGACATGGTATCAGAGCGGTCTCGGGTTCGAATCCCAGTGTATGCACATGTAGGCCGGTGCCACTGTGCTTAGTCCTGGGCCTCCCAGCATGGGGGGGTGTCAGTAGATCTGCACTATGGATGCTTGATTGATCATGGAGAGGGTTACAGGCGCGTTCGCCTTGGGGGTTATGGGCGCACTGACCCGCTACACAACAAGCCCTTTTATCCCAATGGTATCATGGTTGGAATTTTGACAGAGGTTCGACCTTCTGACCTATGGCTTACTTCGGAAGTTCGAAATCACTGCTCCAAAATGATCTGTGCAATATGGTATCGATAATTTTTATTAATATTTTGTTTGAAAAACAAGTTCCTGCCTAGGGTTCGAGAAACCTCTTTTCCTGGCTCTTCCAAGTTATGGTTTTAGATCTAGTCCTGCTGCTCATGCCAGTCACGCCACCTACAGGTCCTCACGCCACTCACGCCATTCTAGTGATGAAAAACGAGAATGAATGAACTATGAAAGAGTTCGGTACAAGTACTAACCCTAATTGGGTTGTACCCCTTCTGGGCTACCCCACTACAGCCTACACAAATGTATAAGCTATAATGTTCTGACACACCCCCATAGGCAAAGTGGGGGAGAACAAGTGGTCACAAGACCAGTCAAACAAAGCAAAGCAAGCTCAGGGTGGATCACAAAGTCACCACACAGTCCGAGCACAAGTAGGCCACAAAGGGCAAGTTCACATGCAAGATCATAAATATAAAGGTAAACCAGCTAGTGCAGGTATAGAAAGAGTACAGTACAAACAAGATCAAGAAGAGAGCAAGTGAGGCCAAGTAGGCACAAGACCTAGCAAAGTACAGAAGCGCTGATGATCACAAGGCGGAAGGACCTTGGAGAAGATATCAACAGTGTTGGTCTCAGAGGCCACATAGGTAAGGCGGCGCTGACCACGCTGCTGCAGCTCACGAGCCAGGAAGTAGCTGAGAGCAATGTGCTTCGTTCTGTGCTCCAGTTTGTGCTCCGGACACAAGGCCAGCATGGCCTTGTTGTCTACGTACAGAACTGGAGGAGAACGAGGCGGCTCTCCTAGGTCAGTCAGCAGGTAGGTGAGCCAGCGTCGCTCCTGTGCAGCCATGGCCCCCGCATAGATCTCAGCCTCACAGCTGGAGCTGAGAACTGAAGACGAGCGGGTAGACTGCCACGAAATAGAGCCGGAGCCAGGCTGAAGGTATAACCCTGTGACGACAACTGCAGAGCCTGGTCGTCAGCCCAAGATGCGTCATCGTGACCTGTGAGGACCACTCGACGTCGCCCTCCAAGCACTAGCCCCATGCCCGACATACTGCACACGTAGCGCAACACCCTCTTCGCTTCAGCCATGTGCTCTGATCGGTGTCTCCCAGGAGCAACATAGCGTGCCAAGATGCTAAGAGGGTATGCAAGGTCAGGTCGTGTGCAGGTCATCAGATACATGGGCCAAACAAGCTCTGGGTACGGGCCACTCGGCTCTACGGACTCATCCAAAGCAGCAGAGCTGAGAGCGAGTGGCGAGTAGACAGAGGAGTGGCCTGAGGCGAGGAGTACGTGAAGCCGAAGCGCTGAAGGACCTACTGCACCATGTGTGAGTGAGTCAGGGTAATGGTGCGCTGTGCTCAGTCCCGGGTGATCTGCAAGCCAAGGTAGCTACGCAGTTCACCCAGGTTTGCGCACGTATGTCTCTTCTGCAGCTCAGACTTCACGTGGGCGAGTCCAGCAGTTTCAGCAATGGCAAAGACCAAGTCGTCGACGTACACGAGGATGTAGAACGGCGGCAAAGAAGTGTCAGTGCGCAGAAACAGCGACGGGTCGGGTGTAGAAGGAGCAAACCCAAGAGCCGCAAGTGCAGTCCTCAGTGTGTCGTGCCACTCACGGGGTGCCTGGCGGAGACCATTGAGTGGCTACCGAAGGCTCCACTGGGTACCAGGAGGAAACGACCCAGTGAAGCCAGGTGGACGGCGCAGCCAGATCTCCTCGTGCAGGCTGCCCTGCAGGAAAGCTGTGCTGAAGTCAAGAGAGTGAAGCTCGTAGTCGCGCTGAGCGGCTATGTGCAGCAGCACCCGAGAGTGGTCATCTTCGGGGTGGGAGAGAAGGTCTGAAAGTAGTCAACTCCCTGCCGGTGACTGAAGCCTCGAGCCACGTAACGCGCCTTGAAGACAGGCGGAGAACCCGGCGGCCGCTTCACCCTGAAAATCCACATGCCACTGACGATGTTCGCCCCAGGTGGGGGAACCTCGTCGACGTAGGCGCATGTAGACTTCCGGGAAGCCATCTCTGCGTCCATGGCTGACTGCCACTGAGAGGAGTAGGGACCCTCGATCGCCTCAGCATACAATCGAGAGTCGGGATGTCGGGATGTCTCGGGTCTAGTCCTCTCGGGCAAAGGCGTGGACACGAAATGGGGCAAAGGAGCAGCAAAGCACTGGAGCTCCTCGTGCCTATCCTCAAGGACGTCCGTGCTAAGAGCACACTCACCCCTGACGGACAGAGGACAGACAGACTCAGACTCTGCAACGAGACTAGAAGCAGAGTCTAGATGACAGCAAGCAGCGAAGTCGACAAGCTCAACAACTAGGGCAGACGCAGCAGTGGACTCAAAGGAAGGGTCAGTGACAATAGTAGCAAGAAGGCGCATGACCGAAGGACTAGCAGCACAAAGGGAGTCAAACTCCAGGTCAGCAAGAGTAGGAAGAGAGGACTCTGGAGGAGACGGCAACGGAACACGCAGCAGAGGAGCAGTGGAAGGACGCAGTGCCATCTGGTGTGTGCCGGGGACCGCAGGAGGACGCGTACGGGCAGCACGACGACTAGTGCGAGCAGCACGAACAGGAGACGCAGGACGAGACGCAGGCTTACGACGCTCAGCAAGACCTCCAGTAGGACCAGTGTAGGGAGAAGGAGCATGTTGTGTGATGCAATCATATGCATTCACGTCTGTCTGCCTCCCATCATATGTTCGTGGTGCGTTGCATGCGTGGTATGAGCGTGTGCAAGAATTTGTGTTTTTTGCAGTTTGGTTTTTCTGAGTGTGTGTGAATATTATTTGGCTTGAGCAGATATCTGAAGTGACTCCTCTGCTCAAGAGCTTTCCGACGAACCAAGTATCGCTTCAATCGGAGCACGAACAAGAAAGTTACGAACGTTGGAGTTCGTATGCTTTTCATATTTGGTTGTGGTGACTATGGGAAGTTGTGGGGGTTGACTCAATATGGGGTACAGACTTTTGGGGGTTGGGAAATTCGTCTTTTCTAATGTAGTTGCTGCCAAGTGGTTGGGTGAAACCAAACCAGGTTGGCAAGTGTGGCCAAGTTGGGTTGAGGTGGATTGTGGAGGTTGGGAAAGTGACAAAAGTGAAAGTGGGGTTGCCTATGGAGAGGGGAATTGTGTGGCATGGGGTTTCCTTTGTTGGGCACTCTCTTGGGACCTTCCCTCTCGTCCTCCTCATCCATCCCACCTGGTTTATTGCCACTCTAACTCTCTTGTGTAGTAATTGTGAACTTGTGTGAGAACTTTTTGATTGAGTTAAGATTGTATGGCAGCATATCCCCTAGTGCGCCGAAGTTGATAACTCAAGAAATACTTCACCTTTTCGTATGATTTAACTTGAGAATTATAGCTACGGAGTAGAGCTATACCATATTTGTGTTTGGTGAAGTTTTGAATGTGAACTTTTTGTCGACGGCGTTTTTTGTGAGCGCGACTTTTCTGCCCAGATTCTAAGCCAACGATTTTGAGAATTTTAGGCACCTAATCTTCATAGACTCCGTCCTTAGTCTCTAACAGAGCAGGTAGAGGGGAGGCGGGCTGTAACTCTGACTGCGACTGGACATGCAGTGGACACTCTAAGGAAGGAGCAGGACCAAGAGAGGGCGGGAGACCAAAAACCTGCTCAAGGAGCGGAACGAAGTACGGCCTCGCTGCACAGCGCCTCCAGAACCAGCAAGGACGGCACCACTACCTGCAGCGGAGCACCAGCGCCAGCAGCACCTCCAGCTCCACCAGCGCCAACTCAACCACCCTCAAAAGCACCAGCGCCAGCAGCACCACCAGCGCCAACACGCCCAACAGCTCCAGCTCCAGCAGCACCAACTCCAGTAGGACCGTCAGCTCCAGCAGCCTCAGCAGCACCCCCAGACGCACCAGCGCCAGTAGAAACACCAGCACCAACACCCCTAGCAGCTCCAGCTCCAGCACCACTAGTACCTACCGCCACCAGTTCCAGCAGTAGCCCCAGCTGCACCCCCAATCGCAGCAGCATGTCTCAAGCAGCGGGCAAACCACTCGCGCAGCTCTTGTGGAGAAAGTGGCTCCCGGCTCGACGAAGCACCGCCGACGGCCACACGAGCAGACCCAGCGCTCCCAGGCTCGGCACCCCTAGACCGAGCACCCCCTGGCTCAGCACCCCCGGTCTCAGCAACCCACGACCCAGCAGCCCCAGGCTCAGCACCCCCAGTCTCAGCACCCCCAGACTCAGCACCTCCAGACCCGGCACCTGCAGGCTCAGTACCTCTAGCAGCACCAGAGTCAACAGCTACCTCGACAGGCTCGATTGCGTCTACCTTGGACACACCTAACGGGGCACGACCTTGACGCGGGAGGGGGTTTACCGGGGGAGGACCTGGCGCAAGGAAGAGCCGCGGTGGGGGGGAGGAACGCAGTGCGGTAGGGAAGAGACGGTAGTAAGGCACCAACTCGTCAAAGGTGACGTCCTAGGAGGACAGAACACGTCGCGAGGTGGGGTGGTAAAACTGCCACCCAGGCGGGTCAGGGGGGAAGCCAAGGAAGACGCAGGGAACAGCACGGGGGGACAGCTTGTCCGCAGACAAGTCGCGGACAAACGCCCGAGATCCCCAGACCCAAAACGCAGACGCATCGCCAACCTTCTCAGTCCACCGCAAGGCGGGGGAGGTCTCTGGCAGGGAGACCCGGGGCTGAAGGTTGAGCTGATGCGCGGCGTACTGAACCGCTAACGGCCACAGAAAATGGGGGGCAGCCGCATGCATCATGGACGTACGAGCGACGTCCATGACCATGCCAATGCGGTGCTCAGCAATCCCATTTTGCTGTGGAGAGGCCGGAATCGTGAAGGTCTGGCGGATGCCTTGTGCACGACAGAAGGCTCCCAGACGCGCAGAGGAAAGCTCCCCGCCTCTGTCCGAGTGCAGACGCAGAACAGAAAGTTTGACAGAAAACTCCCAGACAAGACTCCCCAGAGTGGAGACGAGTTGCGCTTATCCAGTCGATCAACACCTCAGTGACATCACCCTTGCTGCGCAAGGGGAAGACTGTGGTGTAATGCGAGTAGTCGTCAAACACCAGCAGGAAGTACCGCCACGCCCCGCCCACTACCCGCCCACTAACGCGGCGGGGCCCCACCATCCATGTGGAGAGTCTGCAGCGGAGCCTCTGTCGGAGGAAACTCAGAGGAGTGAGGGGCGGCGCGCTGTCGCCCCTCGACGCAGGGGACGCAGGTAGGGCCACGCCTCGGAGGTAGGGGAGGGAGAGACCGAGGGAGACCAGAGACAAGGACACGGGAGGCCATGCCTCAGAGACGAGGCAGGGAGGGGTGACCAAGGCGGTGGTGCCAAAGGAGAGTCTGGTGGGACAAAAGACGACACGAGCAAGGAGCAGACTCAGGACCAGACCTGGACGCTGCAGCAAACACCTGACCCGACGCAACTACCTGACCAGACTCAGCAAGCGGAGGAGACTCAGTAGTAAGGGTTTACACGCTCGACCCTGGCCGACGGGTGAACGTGGCCAAGTGTTGGCCTGTCCGAGCACACGTGCAGTGGGTCACCCGCTGACTCGCAGGAGTGAACTGGTCAACCCCCAATCCTGTAGGTCCGCTCCACTCACTAAGTTCGTAGAGAACGAGGGGAGGTAGAGACTTGACAGGGTGCCAGAGGGGGCTGCCGGGCACGGTAAGACAGTGGAGAAGCTAGCAAGGAAAGGACCCCCAGAGGGGTCCGCGAGGGAGACTGCATCCGGCCGACTGAGCGGCGTAAGAGTGGTGCGGTCTTCAAAGAATGAGCGGGACGGCACCCGAGTCAAGGGTGAAGGTGTGTAAGGCCTGAGCCGGCGTAGTACCTGAGAGCGCAGACTCACCAGCACCATGGGCAGCAGACGCACTAGCACCGAGAGCTGCAGCCTCACCAGCACCTGGAGCAGTAGCCTCAATGCCCGGGTCAAGCGGTACACACAGGTAACAGTCACCCACAACACTATCATCAACAGCATACATGGCAGCAAGAATAGCATCAAAGTCAAGATCAAAGATAGCAACCCCCGCCCTAGACAGCTCTCCCGAGCGAGCGATCTCAGAGGCCCCAGGGAACTGGTGACGCCACGCGTTCGTCAGGCAGCCGAAGCAGCGCTGGGTGGGGTGCGGGCCCCCGCACTACTCACCAGCGCGGTCGCCGGTGCGAAGAACGTAGGTGCAGGGACCCGTACCCCCACCGCGCTGACGCGCAGCGTACCACTCACGTAGCTGCTGAGGGGACAGGGTCTCATGACTGCTCTGCTACTGCTGGCGCGAACCACCACCGGAGCCACTCCTCTGCGTAGAGCCGCGACTAGGTCCACCACTGCCGCCGCCGCCTCTACCGCGTCCTCCACCTCTGTCTCCTCTGCCACCTCCGCTCCCTCCGCCGCCACCGCCACCTCCTCCGCCTCCACTGATGCCGCCGCCGCGGCCACCCCCGCCACCACTCCCACCACCACCCGCACCCCCTCCACTGCCTCCACCACCACCTCCACCGCCCCCGCCAGCCCCTTTAGCGCCCTTGCCCCACATGCCCTTGCCGGTGCGGCGTCTCCCGCTAGGGGCAGACGCAGCGCCGACCGACTCGAAACCAACGAGGTCGGCCGGAGCAGCAGAAGCAACAGAGCGCAAGAGGGGGGAGGGGGAACACCCCTCAAAAACGGGGGTGCGAGGGTCACCACGAGAGGCTCCTACAGCGAATATGCTCTTCTCTGCTGCTAGGAGGCCCTTGTCGAGGAGGTCAACGGTGAGAGTGGTGGGGCAAACGGAGAGGAAGTGGTCCCTGACTATGCGAAGCGAGTCAGGGAGCCGGGTGACTATGTAGTAGAGGGTGATGTACATGGGGGGGGGGTTCTTGGCGCAAAACTCAGTAGGAAGCGCAGCGCGGTAGCGAGTGTCACTAGTGCGGAGGTGTGTAATGAGATCAGCGACTGTGGGAAAGGCAGCAAGGTCAGGGAAGAGGTACGGTAGCATAAGGCGGCTCAGTGCAGCAGTGGCAGAGGAAGAGTAGCGTGCAGCTACAGCGTCGTACAAGGTCTGAGCACTCTTGTACTGGCTAAAGTGTGCACGCTCAGTGGTCGGTAAGTGGCGACGAACAGCAAGGCGAGCAGCAGCATCACGAGTGGCCCACTATGAGCGAACAGTGCTGTCAGCAGTAGCAGGCGGGGTAGGAGAGACACCAGAGGTGAGATCGAACAGAGAGAGTCCGTCTGCCTTATTGCACTGGAGAAACAGCTGGAGGTCATCGACCCATACCTTAAAGTCAACGGCACGGCCCTCAGCATTAAAGGTAAGGACACTAGGGGGTAGCCATGACTGCAGTGGTCTAGTAGGAAGTGAGCTCACCAGTCCGAGAAAGGAGGGTCGGGGAGCACCGGTAGGAACAGCAGCGGCTCGACAGTAGGGTGGCTCGGCGGCTCGACGGCTCGGCGGTAGGGCGGCTCGGCTGTTGGGCGGCTCGGCTGCAGGGCGGCTTGGCTGCTGGGTGGCTCGGCGGTAGGGCGGCTTGGCTGGTGGGCGGCTCGGCTGCTGGGCGGCTCGGCTACTTGGCGACTCGGCTACTCGGCAGATGGTTGGCTCGGCTGCTGGGCTGCTCGGCGGTTTGGTCGCTGGGCGGCTGAGCGGTAACAGGGCCGCTAGGTGAGGGCGACGAGGCCGCGGGTGACGGCGACAGGGCCGTAGGTGGCGGCGACGGGGCCGCAGGTGGCGGTGGGGCCGCAGGTGGCGGTTGCGTGGCTGCTGGTGGCGGCGACGAGGCCGCTGGTGGCAGCGACGGGGCCGCAGGTGGCGGCGAGGCCGCAGGTGGCGGCGGCGTTGCCGCAGGTGGCGGCGACGGGGCCGCATGTGGCGGCGATGGGGCCGCATGTGACGGCGACGGGGCCGCAAAGGGGCCTAGACGAGGCCGCGGATGGGCCTAGACGGGGCCGTAAGGGGCCTAGACGGGGCCGTAAGGGGCCTAGGCGGGGCCGTAAGGGGTTGCGGAGGGGCCGTAAGGGGCCTAGGCGGGGTCGTAAGCGGCCGTAAGGGCGGCGCGAGGGGCCGTAGAGGGCGGCGTGAGGGGCCTCGGGGGGCCGTAAGGGGCCGTAAGGGCGGCGCGAGGGGCCGTAAGGGCGGCGCGAGGGGCCGTAAGGGCGGCGCGAGGGGCCATAAGGGTGGCCATTAAAGGCGGCTCGAGGGTAGGGAGGGCACACAAAGCGCGACTCGGGCAGGAGTGAAGCGCGCTCCGGGCAGGGAAAAAAAAGTATCGTGGTGGGCCCTAGGTAGCGTTCCCACTAGGGAACCTGCTCGATACCATGATGAGAAACGCGAATGAATGAACTATGAAAGAGTTGGGTACACGTACTAACCCTAATTGGGTTGTACCCCTTATTAGCTACCCCACTACAGCCTACACAAATGTATAAGCTATAATGTTCTGACATCTAGATCTAGAGGTAAGCTTTTCTACCTCTTATTCTTAAGCTCACTAGACATTGTAGAATATACTTGTATAGATTCAAACGCCGTTGTTTACCAGATTTATGTGTAACGACCTTCTTCAATTATCATCCTCTCTATTCACATTTTGTCTACCTCGATTTTGTTGCTTATTCTAGTTTCCTTTGCTTCTATCTCTCGCTCAGTCCGGCGTTCGTCTCTCTCCTTCATTCTTCCTTATTTATCTTCTTCCTAACGTCGTTCTGCTGGTGCAAGTCACGCTGGCTTCGTGTTGCTGGTGCCGGGCGCGCTAGAGGTGATTGCGCCACCCTCAGCGTCATGCACTTTATACGCGGAGGCAGCAGCAACGAAGGGCAAGAGCATGTTGTTAGAACTTAGTGAGTTCAGATTGTGAAAGAGAGTGAGAGAGTAGTTAATAGTTCTTAAGCGAAAATACTACGGGATAAAAAATGCGGGGAGAGTGATAGAATATGAGAGCTTACTCCTTGAGTTAGCTACTTCCGTTTTCTTCTTCCGCTTTCTGCTTCCGCTTTCGATTCCTACATTCGTTTCCTACTGTCATCTGTTCTCTACTATGGCGTTTATTCTGTTATCTGATTTAGTATCACTTTTAGATCTTCCTTTGGTTATCTGTGCTTCCTCTTTACTTCATGCGTTGCGTATATTTAGTACCTGCGTACCTGCTTATATTTCCTCTTCCTCTATACCTCCTATTTGAAGTATACGCGACTTTCAAGTTGCGTATATTTAGTACCTGCGTTTCCTTCATTCGTTTTTTTCAAAGGTTGTTGCTTCATTGTCTCGTGAAAGCCTCTTCTTTAAGTTTTCCTTTCGCTTTCTCTACTTTTCGTTTCCATTTCTTTCTCAGTTCGTTCTTTCATAGTCTTAATTTAATCAACATTTTATTCCCTCGTTAAAATATAATTCATTCTCTCTTCTCGTTTGTTCCTCCTTGATGAGAGTTTTACATTGGTATTTCTTGTTGTAATCTATCTACTCGTAGTTGTGGTATTTGATGGTTCGTTGGGCCACTTAACTATTGTTTCCACTTCTATTCGAATGATGTCTGAAGTTGTTGCTTTCAAATTGTCATGTATTTTTGTTTTTTATTGGTGTTGTTATCACTTGTAAGACATGATGAGAAACGAGAATGATTGAACTATGAAAGAGTTGGGTACAAGTACTAACCCCTAATTGGGTTGTACCCTTATGGGCTACCCCACTACAGCCTACACAAATGTATAAGCTATTATATTCTGACACACCCCATAGGCAAAGTGGGGGAGAAACAAGTGGTCACAAGACCAGTCAAACAAAGCAAAGCAAGCTCAGGGTGGATCACAAAGTCACCACACAGTCCGAGCACAAGAGTAAGGCCACAAGGCCAGTTCACATGCAAGGTCATATATATAAAGGTAAACAAGAAAGTGCAGGTATAGAAGAATACAGTACAAACAAGATCAAGAAGTGAGCAAGTGAGGCCAGGTAGGCACAAGACCTAGCAAAGTATAGAAGCGCTGATGATCACAAGGCGGAAGGGCCTTGGTGAAGATATCAGCAGTGTTGGCCTCAGAGGCCACGTAAGCAAGGCGCAGCTGACCACGCTGCTGCAGCTCACGAGCCAGGAAGTAGCGGAGAGCAATGTGCTTCGTTCTGTGCTCCAGTTTGTGCTCTCGACACAAGGCCAGCATGGCCTTGTTGTCTACGTATAGAACTGAAGGAGAACGAGGCGACTCTCCTAGGTCAGTCAGCACGTAGGTGAGCCAGCGTAGCTCCTGTGCAGCCATGGCCCCTGCGTAGATCTCAGCCTCACAGCTGGAGCTGAGAACAGAAGACCAGCGGGTAGACTGCCACGAAATAGAGCCTAAGCCAAGGCTGAAGGTGTAACCCTGTGACGACCGCTGTGTCGGCTGGTCGTCAGCCCAAGAAGCGTCAGCGTGACTTGTGAGGACCCGCTCGACGTCGCCCCCCAAAGCACTAGCCCCATGCCCGACGTACTGCACACGTAGCGCAACACCCTCTTCGCTTCAGCCATGTGCTCTGGTCTGTGTCTCCCAGGAGCCACATAGCATGCCATGATGCTAAGAGGGTATGCAAGGTCATGTCGTGTGCAGGTCATCAGGTACATGAGGCAGCCAACAAGCTCTGGGTACGGGCCACTCGACTCTACGCACTCATCCAAAGGCAGAGCTGAGAGTGAGTGGCGAGTAGACAGAGGAGTGGCCTGAGGCGAGGAGTACGTGAAGCCGAAGCGCTGAAGGACCTGTTGCACCATGTGTGACTAAGTCAGGGTAATGGTGCACTGTGACTCTGTCCCGGGTGATCTGCAAGCCAAGGTAGCTGGCGCAGTTCACCCAAGTCTGTACACGTGTGTCTCTTCTGCAGCTCGAACTTCACGTGGGCGAGTCCAGCAGTGTCAGCAGTGGCAAACACAAAGTCGTCGACGTACACGAGGATGTAGAACGGCGGCAAAGAGGTGTCGGTGCGCAGAAAACAGCGACGGGCCGGCTGTAGAAAGAGCAACCCAAGAGCCGCAAGTGTAGTCCTCAGTGTGTCGTGCCACTTATGGGGCGCCTGGTGGAGACCGTAGACTGGCCGCCGGAGGCTCCACTTGGTACCAGGAGGAAACGACCCAGTGAAGCCAGGCGGGCGGCGCAACCAGATCTCCTCGTGCAGGCTGCCCTGCAGGAAAGCTGTGCTGAAGTCAAGAGAGTGAAGCTCGTAGTCGCGCTGAGCGGCTATGTGCAGCAGCACCCGAAGAGTGGTCATCTTCGGGGTGGGAGAGAAGGTCTGAAAGTAGTCAACTCCCTGCCGGTGACTGAAGCCTCGAGCCACGTAACGCGCCTTGAAGACAAGCGGAGAACCCGGCGGCCGCTTCACCCTGGAAATCCACATGCCACTGACGATGTTCACCCCAGGTGGGGGAACCTCGTCGACGTAGGTGCATGTGGACTTCAAGGAAGCCATCTCTGCGTCCATGGCTGACTGCCACTGAGAGGAGTAGGGACCCTCGATCGCCTCAGCGTACGATCGAGGAGTCGAGATGTCTGGTGCATCTGGGTCTCCCTCGAGGGCAATCAGCGTGGACACGAGATGAGGCGAAGCAGCAGTTAAACACAGGAACTCTTTCTTGCCTGTCCTCAAGGACGTCCGTGCTAAGAGCACGCTCAATCCTGATGGACGGAGGACAGACAGACTCAGACTCAGCAACATGTCTAGCAGCGTAGTCTCGACGACAGCGAGCAGCAAAGTCGACAAGCTCAGCAACCAAGGCACACGCAGCAGTGGACTCAAAGGAAAGGTCAGTGACAACAGTAGCAAGAAGGCGCGTGACCGAAGGACTAGCAGCACGAAGAGAGTCAGACTCCAGGTCAGCAAGGACAGGAAGAGAGGACTCTGGAGGAGACGGCAACAGGACACGCAGAGGAGTAGTGGAAGGACGCAATGTCATCTGGTGTGTGCCGGGGACCGCAGGAGGACGGAGACGTGCAGCACGACGACTAGTGCAAGCAGCACGAACAGGCGACGCAGGACGAGACGCAAGCTCACGACGCTCAGCAAGACCTCCAGTAGGACCAGTGTAGGGAGAAGGAGCAGGGAGAGGGGAGGTGGGCTGTAATTGTGACTGCGACCGGATAGGCTGAGGACACTCTAAGGGAGGAGCAGGACCTGTAGAGGGCGGGAGACCAAGAACCTGCTCAAGGAGCTGAATGAAGTACGGCCTCGGCCGCGCAGCGCCTCTAGAACCAACAGGGACAGCACCAGTACCCCCTAGCGGCAGCACCAGCGCCAGCAGCACCTCAAGCTCCACCAGCGCCAACTCCAGCACCCTCAAAAGCACGAGCGCCAGTAGCACCACCAGCGCCAACTCCGGTAGGACCGTCAGCTCCAGTAGCCTCAGCAGCACCCCCACACGCACCGGCGCCAGGAGAAACACCAGCGCCAACACCCTTAGTTGCGCTAGCTCCAGCTAGCACCAACTCCAGTAGGACTGTCAGCTCCAGCAGCCTCAGTAGCACCCCTAGATGCACCAGCGCCAGTAGAAACACCAGCGCCAACACCCCCTAGCAGCTCCAGTAGGACCAAACTCTTGTAGCCCTAGCAGCAACCCCAGTCTCAGCAGCACGTCTCCAGTGGGGGGCAAACGACTCGCGCAGCTATTGTGGAGAGAGCGGCCTTTGCCTCGACGAAGCACCGCCGGTGGCCACACGAGCAGACCCAGCGCCCCCAGGCTCCGCACCCCCAGGCTCAGCATCCCTAGGCTCAGCATCCCCAGACCCAGCACCCCCAGGCTCAGCACCTCCAATCTCAGCACCCCCAGACTGAGCACCCCAAGACCCGGCACCTTCGGCTCAGCACCTCTAGCAGCACCAGAGTCAAAAACTACCTCAACAGGCTCCACTGCGTCTACCTGGGACACACCTGACAGGGCAGGGACCCTGAGGGGGGAGAAGGTGTACCGGGTGAGGACCTGGTGCAAGGAAGAGCGGCGGCGGGGGGAGAGGCGCAGTGCGGTAGGGGAAGAGACGGTAGTAAGGCACCGACTCGTCAAAGGTGACGTCCTGGGAGGACAGAACACGGCCCGAGGTGGGGTGGTAAAACTGCCACCCAGGCGCGTCAGGGGGGAAGCCAAGGAAGACGCAGGGTACAGCACGGGGGGACAGCTTGTCCGCAGACAAGTCGCGGACAAACGCCCGAGATCCCCAGACCCGAAACGCAGACGCATCGCCAACCTTCTCGGTCCAACGCAAGGCGGGGGAGGTCTCTGGCAAGGAGACCGGGGCTGCAGGTTGAGCTGATGCGCGGCGTACTGAACCGCAAACGGCCACAGAAAATGGGGAGCAGCCACATGCATCATGGACGTACGAGCGACGTCGATGACCATACCAATGCGGCGCTCAGGAATCCCATTTTGCTGTGGAGAGGTCGGAAGCGTGAAGGTCTGGCGGATGCCCTGTGCACGACAGAAGGCTCCCAGACGGGCAGAGGAAAACTCCCCGCCTCTGTCCGAGTGCAGACGCAGAACAAGAAAGTCCGAGCCGAAACTCTCTGTGAGTAGGAGACGAGCTGCGCGGATCCATTCGATCAACAACTCGGTGACGTCACCCTTGCTGCGCAAGGGGAAGACTGTGGTGTAACGCGAGTAGTCGTCAACCACCAGCAGGAAGTACCGCTCGCGCCCCTGCCCACTGACGCGGGCTGGGCCCCATGCGTCCATAAGGAGAGTCTGCAACGGAGCCTCTGTTGGAGGAAACTTGGAGGAGTGAGGGCGGCGCGCTGTCGCCCCTCGACGCAGGGGACGCAGGTAGGGCCACGCCCCGGAGGAAGGGGAGGGAGAGACCGAGGGAGACCAGAGACAAGAACACTGGAGGCCATGCCTCAGATACGAGGCAAGGAGGGGTGACCAAGGTGGTGGTGCCAAAGGAGAGTCTGGTGGGACAAAAGATGACACAAGCAGGGAGCAGACTCAGGACCAGACCTGACTCGACGCAGCTACCTGGGCAGACTCAGCAGCAGGAGGAGACTCAGTAATAAGGGTGTACAGGCTCGACCTTGGCCGACGGGTGAACGTGGCCAAGTGTCGGCCTGTCCGAGGACACGTGCAGTGGGTCACTCGCTGACTAGCAGGAGTGAACTGGTCAACCCCCTTATCCCGTAGGTCCGCTCCACTCACCAAGTTTGTAGAGAACGAGGGGAGGTAAAGACCAGACAGGGTGCCTGAGGGGGCTGCCGGGCATGGTAGGAGAGTGGAGAAGCTAGCAAGGGCAGGACCCCCAGAGGGGTCTGCCAGGGAGATTGCAACCGGCCGACTGAGCGGCGTAAGAGTGGTGCAGTATCGAAAGAAGGAGCGGGACGCACCTGAGTCCAGGGTGAAGGTGTGGAAGGCCTGAGCCGACGTAGTACCTGAGAGAGTAGACTGACCAGCACCTGGGGCAGCAGACGCACTGGCACCTGGGGCAGCAGACGCACTAGCACCTAGAGCAGCGGCCTCAATGCCCGAGTCAGGCGGTACACACAGGTAACAGTCACCCGCAACACTAGTATGAACAGCATACATTGCAGCAAGAATAGCATCAAAATCAAGATCAAAGATAGCAACCCCGGCCTTAGACAGATCTCCCCAGCGAGGGATCTCTGACGCCTCAGGGAACTGGCGACGCCACGCGTCCGTCAGGCGACCAAAGCACCGCTGGGTGGAGTGCGAGCCTTCGCACTGCTCACCAGCTCGGTCGCCGGTACGGAGGACGTAAGCGCAGGGACCAAAACCCCCACCGCGGTGGCGCGCAGTGTACCACTCACGAAGCTGCTGAGGGGACAGGGTCACACCACTCCGCTGCTGCTGTCGCGGACCACCACCTCAGCCACTCCTGTGCGCAGAGTCGCGACTCGCTCCACCACCGCCGCCGCCGCTGCCGCCGCCTCCTCCACCTCCGCCTCCTCCGCCACCTCCGCCGCCTCCGCTCCCTCCGCCACCTCCACTGCCTCCGCCTCCTCCACTGCTGCCCGCCGCCGCCGCCACCCCCGGCACCACTCCCACCACCACCCCACTCCCTCCACATCCTCCTCCACCACCTCCACTCTCCCCTCCAGCCCCTCCAGTGCCCTTCCCCCCCTTGCCCCTGCCGGTGCGGCGTTTCCCGCTCGGGGCAGACGCAGCGCCGATCGACTTGAAAGCAACGAGGTCGGCCGCAGCAGCAGAGGCAATAGAGGGCAAGAGGGGGGAGGGAGAACACCCCTCAAAGACGGGGGGTGCGAGGGTCACCACGAGAGGCTCGGCTGCTGGGCTGCTCGGCGGCAGGGCGGCTCGGCTGCTAGGCGGCTCGGCGGCACGGCTTCTGGGCGGCTCGGCTGCTCGGTAGGCGAGCGGCTCGGCTGCTGTGCTACTCGGCGGCTCGGTCGCTGGGTGGCGGAGCGGTGTTGGGGCCGCTAGGGTAGTGCGACGAGGCCGCGAGGGGCCTAAACGAGGCCGTTAAGGGGCCAGACGGGGCCGCAGCGGGGCCTAAGCGGGGCCGCAGAGGGGCCGAAACGAGGTCGCAAGGGGCCAGACATGGCCTCGGAGGGGCCTAGACGGGGCGCAAGGGGCCTAGACGGGGCCACGGAGGGGCCGTAAGGGGCCTAGGCGGGGCCGTAAGGGGCCGTAAGGGGCCAGACGGGGCCGCGGAGGGGCCTAGGCGGGGCCGCGGAGGGGCCGTAAGGGGCCTAGGCGGGGCCGTAAGGGGCCGTAAGGGGCCAGACGGGGCCGCGGAGGGGCCTAGGCGGGGCTGCGGAGGGGCTGTAAGGGGCCTAGGCGGGGCTGTAAAGGGCCGTAAGGGGCCAGACGGGGCCACGGAGGGACCTAGGCGGGGCCGCAAGGGGCCTAGACGGGGCCGCGGAGGGGCCGTAAGGGGCCTAGCTAGGGTTTAGCTAGCTAGGCAAGAGAGAAATGAAGAAAGGAGGGTTTCACTAGCAGCAGTTGGGATACATATAGCAAACAATTACAGGTTGTACTCGCTATAGAGCACCCCACTGCAGGCTAGATAATAACATTCTGACACACCCCCATAGCCAAAATGGGGGGTAATCAGCAGAGCACGCAGTCATAGAGCAGGTTCACAAATGCAAGCAAAGCTAGAGGCTATCACAGAGGACAAGTGAGGAGGAGGAGGAACTGTGGAAGGAGAGAAGATGGGAGGCAACGAGTGAAGCTGTAGAGGCACGGGCACAAGAGCGGCTGGTTCAGTGCTACCGAAGCAAGGGCGTCGGACTACTGGAGTGACTGGCTCCACGGCTAAGACGAGTGGCAGGAGCAACGAACCCACTGGCGACTGGTGCAACAGGCTCACTGGCTACCCAAGCAAGGGCGTCGGACTACAAGCGCTCCAGGCGACATGACAGCTACCTCCACACAACCTCCTCCAACTGACCCACACCCTTGACACACACCCCCTGCTGAACCCCTAACTCCACTCCCACGTCACCCCTCTAGCACCACTCCTTCGACTCCCACACACCCACTCCCCTGAGCGGCAGCTGCAGCAGCGGGAGACGGAGGAGAAGGAGGAGCAGGGGACGGCGCACACAACCGGAACCCCCACAACCGTCCCCCCCACACTCCCCACCCCCAAATCCTAAAGCGGGTGGCACGGGGTAGGAGCGCGGGGGACGGCGAGGAGGACGGCGCGCGGCCCCCAGGGCGCCACCACGGGGCAGCGAGGGGCCGCGCCGTGAAGGGCGGGGGCCGCGCGGTGCTCCCCAGGGCGCCGCGACGAGCAGGGCAGGGGCCGCGCGCGGGTCCCCAAGGTACGAAACCGCCGCGCGCCTCGAGGCGCACGGCGGGCAGAAAACCCGAAAAAAAATTGGCAGGAAGAAGGAGTCGCACGCCACGGGGCGTGCAACAGACAGAGTAGCAGCGGAAGCAGTTAGGTGGGCTCACAGGCCAGGAGTGTAGATGCTGTGATAGCATGTTAGAAGAGTAAGCATAGTGAGGAGCCATAGCTAGGGTTTAGCTAGCTAGGCAAGAGAGAAATGAAGAAAGGAGGGGTTTCACTAGCAGCAGTTGGGATACATATAGCAAACCCTAACAAGGTTCTACTCGCTATAGAGCACCCCACTACAGGCTAGATAATAACATTTTGACAAAATAGACTGAGAATGCTTGTGATTTACGGTATAGGATACATGTTGTCTTTGTGATTTAGGTTTTTTATCATCTACGGTTAATATGCTTTGTCAGTTGGCTTCGTGCGTGCGCGTAAGTGTGAATGTGTATGATCATGTGTATGCGTTGTGTTGTGTGCGTTTGTGCTTTCATTCATGTTTCCATTCCATCAATAACGCATGTCTGTGGGTTTTGAAAATTGGGATCAAACTATCATTTCCGAGAAGGTTCTTTGCGCTCTCAGTGAGTGTGTCCATTCGAACTGGATTTGATAGAATTGACCTTTTTTTTAGATCACACAGATTGTGTTGTTTCATGTGATAGTTGGATGATTCAGGCACTATGCTATTGAACTCCCCCCCCCCATGCTAGGCAAGGGATTGATAAACTTAGAAGGAGAATGGATGACTAAGGAATGGAAGTGATACAAATATGCAACCCTAGAAATGTGTACCCCATATGGGCTACCCCACTATAGCCTACACAATATTATAATTTGACACACCCCCATAGGCAAAGTGGGGGAGAACAAGGGGTCACAAGACCAGTCAAGCAAAGCAAAGCAAAGCTCAGGGTGGATCACAACGTCACCACACAGTCCGAGCACAAGGTCAAGGCCACAAGGCCAGTTAACATGCAAGGAGTACACATATATATATATAAGACTAAACAAGCAAGAGCAGGTATATATATATGTAAGAGTACAAGCAAGATCAAGAGGTGAGTAAGTGAGGCAAGACAGGCACAAGACCCAGCAGTGTACAGAAGCGCTGATGATCACAAGGCGGAAGTGCCTTAGTGAAAACATGAGCAGTGTTGGCCTCAGAGGCCACATACGCAAGTCGCAACTGACCACGCTGCTGCAGCTCACGAGCAAGAAAGTAGCGGAGAGCAATGTGCTTCGTTCTATGCTCCAGGCGCTGCTCCCAACACAAGGCCAGCATGGCCTTGTTGTCTACATACAGCATCAGAGGAGAATGAGGCGGCTCTCCGAGGTCAGTCAGCAGGTAGGTAAGCCAGCGAAGCTCCTGTGCAGCCATGGCCCCGGCGTAGATCTCAGCCTCACAACTGGAGCCGAGAACAGAAGACGAGCAAGTAGCCCGCCACGAAACAGAGCCGGGACCAAGACTGAAGGTGTAACCCTGTGACGACCGCTGCGTAGCCTGGTCGTTAGCCCAAGAAGCATCCGCGTGCCCAGTGAGGACCACTGGACTGCGCCCTCCAAGCACTAGCCCCATGCCCGACGTACTGCACAAGTAGCGCAACACCCTCTTCGCTGCAGCCATGTGCTCTGGTCTGTGTCTCCCAGGAGCAACATAGCGTGCAAGAATGCTAAGACGGTATGCCAGGTCAGGTCGTGTGCAGGTCATCAGGTACATGAGGCAGCCAACAAGCTCTGGGTACGGGCCACTCGACTCTACGGACTCATCCGAAGGCAGAGCTGAGAGCGAGTGGCGAGTAGACAGAGGAGTGGCCTGAGGCGAGGAGTACGTGAAGCCGAAGCGCTGAAGGACCTGCTGCACCATGTGTGACTGAGTCAAGGTAATGGTGCGGCGTGCTCTGTCCCGGGTGATCTGCAAGCCAAGGTAGCTGCGCATTTCACCCAGGTCTGTGCACGTGTGTCTCTTCTGCAGCTCGGACTTCACGTGGGTTAGTCCAGCAGTGTCACCTGTGGCAATGACCAAGTCGTCGACGTACACGAGGATGTAGAATTGCGGCAGAGAGGTGTCGGTGCGTAGAAACAACGACGGGTCAGCAGTAGAGGGAGCAAACCCAAGAGCCGCAAGCGTAGTCCTCAGTGGGCCGTGCCAATCGCGTGGTGCCTGGCGGAGACCGTAGACTGGCCGTCGGAGGCTCCACTGGGTGCCAGGAGGGAAAGTCCCAGTGAAGCCAGGTGGACGGCGCAGCCAGATCTCCTCGTGCAGGCTACCCTGCAGGAAAGCAGTGCTGAAGTCAAGGGAGTAAAGCTCGTAGTCGCGCTGAGCGGCTATGTGTAGCAGCACCCGAAGAGTGGTCATCTTCGGGGTGGGAGGAGAAGGTCTGAAAGTAGTCAACTCCCTGCCGCTGACTGAAGCCACGAGCCACGTACCGCGCCTTGAGAACAGGTGGAGAGCCTGGCGGCCGCTTCACCCTGAAGATCCACATGCCACTGACGATGTTCGCCCTAGGAGGGGGAACCGCGTCAACGTAGGTGCCTGTGGACTTCCACGAAGCCATCTCTGCATCCATTGCTGCCTGCCACTGAGAGGAGTAGGGACCCTCTACGGCCTCCGCGTAAGAGCGCGGAGTCGGGATGTCTAGTGCATCCGGGTCTCCCTCAGGGGTAAGCAGTACGGACGCGAGATGAGGTGAAGCAGTAGCCAGACACTGGAACTCCTCCTGCCTGTCCTCAAGGACGTCCGTGCCAAGAGCACACTCACCCCCTGACGGACGGAGGACACACAGACGCAGACTCAGCAACGAGACTAGCAGCATAGTCTAAACGACAGTGAGCAGCAAAGTCGACGAGCTCAGCAACAAGAGCAGACGCAGCAGTGGACTCAAAAGAGGGGTCAGTGACAACAGTAGCAAGGAGACGCGTGACAGTAGGACTGGCAGCACGAAGAGAGTCCGACTCCGGGTCGGTTAGCGCAGGAAGAGAGGACTCAGGAGGAGAAGGCAAAGGGGCACGCAGAGGAGCAGTGGACGGACGCAGAGACATCCGGTGCGTGCCAGGGACAAGAGGAGGACGCTGACGCGAACCGTGACCACTAGCGCGAGCAGCACGAACAGGCGACGCGGGACGAGATGCAGGCTCACGACGCTCAGCAAGACCTCAAGTAAGACCAGTGTAAGGAGAGGGAGCAGGCAGTGGTGAGGCAGGCTCTAACTGTGACTGAGACGAGACAGGCGCTAGACACTCTAGAAGAGGAGAAGTACCAAGAACCTGCTGAAGGTGCGGAATGAAGTACGCCCGAGGCCGCGCAGCAACTCCAGAAACAGCAGGGACAGCACCAGCACCCCCAGCGGCAGCACTAGCGCCAATAGCACCCCCAGCTGCAGGACCTCCTGCAGCACCAGCAGCACCCGCAGCAGGACCACCGCCAGGACTGACAGCAATAGTCTCAGCGCCAACACCCTCAGCAGCTCCAGCTCCAGTAGTACGCCTCCAGCGCCGGGCAAACCACTCGCGCAGCTCCTGTGGAGAGAGTGGCTCCCGCCGAGACGAAGCACCCGAAGAACCTCCAGGTCCAGCACCGCCAGACGCCACAAGGGGAGATCCAGCGGCCGCAGGCTCCGCACCTCCAGGCTCAGTAGCTCCAGACGCAGCACCCCCAGGCTCACCAGCTCCTGACGTAGCACCCCCAGGCTCAGCACCCCCAGTCGTAGCACCCCCAGTCGTAGTACCCCCAAGCTCAGCACCCCCAGTCGTAGCACCCCCAGGCTCAGCACCCCCAGTCGCAGCACCCCCAGACTCAGCACCCCCAGGCTCAGCACCCTCGCGCGCAGCACCCCCAGTTTCAGCACCCCCAAGCTCAGCACCCGCAGCAGTACCAGAGTCACCAGCAACCTTGACCGGCTCGACTGTGTCTACTTGGGACACACCTGAAGGGGCAGGACCCTGAGGGGGAAGGGGGTCTACCGGGGGGGGACCTGGCACAAGGAAGTGCGGTGGCGGGGGGAGGGAAGGAGTGCGGTAGGGGAAGAGGCGGTAGAAGGGGACTGACTCGTCGAACGTGACGTCCGGGGAGGACAGAACACGACGAGAGGAGGGGTGGTAGAACTGCCACCCTGGCGCGTCAGGGGGGAAGCCAAGGAAGACACAGGGAGCAGCACGAGGGGACAGCTTGTCCGCAGACAAGTCGCGGACAAACGCCCGAGATCCCCAGACACGGAACGCAGACGCATCGCCGACCTTCCCCGTCCACAGCAGAGCTGGGGAGGTCTCCGGCCGGGAGACCCTGGGGTGAAGGTTGATCTGATGCGCCGCGTACCGAACCGCAAAAAGCCACAGAAAATGGGGGGCAGCCGCATGCATCATGGACGTACGAGCGACGTCCATGACCATGCCAATGCGGCGCTCAGCAATCCCATTTTGCTGTGGAGAGTCCGGAAGCGTAAAGGTCTGGCGCGGGGCCTCTGTCGGGGGAAACTGAGAGGAGTGAGGGGCAGCCCGGAGTCGCCCCTCGACACAGGGGACACAGAAAGGACCAGGCCCCAAAGGAAGGGGAGGGAGGGACCAGGGAAGACCAGAGACAAGGACACAGGAAGCCATGCCTCAAAGACGAGGCAGGGAGGGGTGGCCAAGACGGTGGTGCCACAGGAGAGTCTCGTGAGACAGGAGGCGACACGAGCAGGGGGCAGACTCAGGACCAGACATGGACGCTGCAGCAAACACCTGACCCGACGCAGCTACCTGGCCAGACGCAGGGACAGGAGGGGACCAAGTGGTAAGGGTGTAGAGGCTCGACCCCCGGCCGACGCGTAAACGTGGCAAGGTGCCGGCCTGTGCGAGCGTACGAGCAGTGGGTCACCCGCTGACTCGCAGGAGTAAACTGGTGAACCCCCGCATCCTGCAGATCAGCACCACTCACCAAGTTCGTCGAGAACAAAGGGAGTTACAGACCAGACAGGGTGCCAGAGGGGGCAGCCGGACACGGGAGGACAGTGGAGAAGTGAGAGAGGACAGGACCCCCAGAGGGGTCAGCCAGGGAGACTGCAACCGGCCGACCAAGCGGCGTGAGTGTGGTGCGGTCTCGAAAGAAGGAGCGAGAAGCCCCCGAGTCAAGTGTGAAGGTGAGGGAGGCCGAAGCCGACGCAGTACCTGAGAGCGCAGCCTCACCAGTACCTCAGGGCGCAGACGCGCTGGCACCTAGAGCAGCAGCCTCACTAGCACCTAGCGCAGCAGTACCAATGCCCGGGTTGGGCGGGAAAACACCAGTAATAGTCACCCTCATCACTAATAGTCACAGCATACATGGCAGCAAGGATAGCATCAAAGTCAAGATCATAGATAGCTACACCTGCCCTAGACAGCTCTCCCCAGCGGGGGATCTCACTAGCCTCGGGGAACTGCTGACGCCAAGCGTCCGTCAGGCGGCCAAAGCAGCGCTGGGTGGGGTGGGCACCCCCACATTGCTCACCCGCGCGGTCGCCGGAGCGAAGGACGGAGGTGCACGGACCAAAACCCCCACCACGCTGATGCTGCGTGTACCACTCACGGAGCTTCTGAGGAGGGGGAATGTCCCGAGAACGCTGCTGCTGTTGCTGCTGCTGGCGCTGACCACCACCGGAGCCGCTCCGCTGCGAAGCACCACCCCGACCAGCTCCACCTCCTCCGCCACCCGCCGCCTCCACCTCCGCCACCACCGCCGCGTCCGCTCCCACCGCTACCACCTCCGCCGCCTCCGCCTCCGCTGCTGCCACCGACGCCCCCACCCCCGCCACCACTTCCCACCGCCACCCCCACTCCCTCCGCCTCCTCCACCACCACCTCCACCACCCCCGCTAGCTCCACCCGCGCCCTTGCCCCCCCTTGCCCTTGCCAGAGCAGCGTCTCCCGCTAGGGGCAGACGCCGCACCGACCGACTCAAGACCAACGAGGTCGGCCGCAGCAGCAGAGGCGAAAGAGGGCAACAGGGGGGAAGGGGAACACCCCTCAAAGATGGGGGTGCGAGGGTCACCACGAGAGGCTCCTACAGCGACTATGCTCTTCTCCGCTGCTAGAAGGGCCTTCTCTAGGAGGTCAACAGTGAGAGTGGTGGGACAGACTGAGAGGAAGTGGTCCCTGACTACGCGAAGGGAGTCAGGGAGGCGGGTGACTATGAAATAGAGAGTGATGTACATGGGGGGGGGGGGGGGGGGGTTCTTGGCGCAGAACTCAGCAGGAAGCGCGGCGCGGTAGCGAGTGTCACTAGTGCGGAGGTGCGTAATGAGGTCAGAGACTGTGGGAAAGGCAGCAAGGTCAGGAAATAGGTACGGTAGCATGAGGCGGCTCAGTGCAGCAGTGGCAGGGGAGGAGTAGCGCGCAACTACAGCGTCGTACAAGGTCTGAGCACTCTTGTACTGACTAAAGTGCGCGCGCTCAGTGGTAGGCAGGTGGCGCCGCACAGCAAGATGTGCAGCAGCATCGCGAGTAGCCCACTGTGAGCGAACAGTGGCGTCAGCATCGGCAGCAGGGGCAGGGGAGGCGCCAGAGGTGAGGTCAAAGAGAGAAAGACCGTCCGCCCTATCGCACTGTAAGAACAGCTGCAGGTCGTCGACTTAGACCTCAAAGTCAATGGCCCGTCCCTCAGCATCAAAAGCGAGAGCGCTGGGAGTGGCCATGACAGCAGTAGACAAGCAGTGCTAACAGTAGGTCAGAGGCAGTGCAGGGACCGAAGCTCTGCTCTCACCAGACAGGACGGTTCGGGCAGCCCGGCAGCGGCTGCGGCTCTGCTGCACCCGCGGCTCGACTCCACAGCAGCTCAGGCAGCTCGGGCTGCTCGGGCGGCTCGGGCGGCTCAGGCGGCTCGGGCGGTTCGGGCGGCGTGGGCGGCTCGGCTGCTCAGCTGCGCTGCTGCAGGGCGGTGCGGTGGTCGGCGGCTCGGCTGGATGGGGCGGCTCGGGCGACGGGCGGCGCTGCAGGTGTGGATGGCGGCGGGGCCGCAAGTGAGGGCGGCGGGGTCGCAGGTGAGGGCGGCGACGGGCCGCAGCAAAGGGCGGCGGTGGGGCCGCAGGTGAGGGCGGCGACGAGGCCGCAGGTGAGGGCGGCGACGTGGCCGCAGGTGAGGGCGGCGAGGCCGCAGATGAGGGCGGCTACAGGGCCGCAGTTGAGGGCGGCAACGGGGCCGCAGGTGTGGGCGGCGACGGGGCCGCAAGTGAGGGCCGCTCGGGCGACCGGGCGGCTTTGGGCCGTTAGGCGACGGGGCCACTTAGGGCGACGGGGCCGTTGAGGGGACGGGGCCGCTAGGGCGACGGGGCCGCTTAGGGTGACGGGGCCGTTTAGGTGACGGGGCCGCTAGGGTGATGGGGCCGTGTAGGCGACGGGGCCGTTTAGGTGACGAGGCCGTGTAGGGGACGGGGCCGCTAGGGCGACGGGGCCGTCTAGGGCGACGGGGCCGTTTAGGGGACGGGGCCGCTAAGGGGACGGGGCCGCTAGGGCGACGGGGCCGTTTAGGGCGACGGGGCCGTTTAGGTGACGGGGGCGCTAAGGAGACGGGGCCGCTAGAGCGACGGGGCCGGTTAGGGCGACGGGGCCGTTGAGGGGACGTGGCCGCTAAGGGGACGGGGCCGCTAGGGCTACGGGGCCGCGAGGGCGGCGCGATCAGCCGCAAGGGCGGCTCGACGAAACGAGAGAGGGGAGCGCGACTCGGGCTGAGCGCGCTCCGGGCAGGAAAAAAAAAAAACTTTTCGATGTGGTGGGCCCTAGGCACAGTTCCCACTAGGGAACCTGCTCGATACCATGAGAAACTTAGAAGGAGAATGGATGACTAAGGAATGGAAGTGATACAAATATGCAACCCTAGAAATGTGTACCCCATATGGGCTACCCCACTATAGCCTACACAATATTATAATTTGACAGGGATACGGTAGCATAGGGTCTGGGTCAATTAGCTGTTACGCATTTTCATCATGCTATGCATTCATTTCACTACCTCAGTAGCATATGCATTATATTTATGCATTTTGCGTTTACTTCATCTACGCATAACACCATCAGGCATATGCATCACGGAATAAACACTTAGGCGTTCACAGTACATCATTTTGGCAACTCATTAAATACGGTATAGGTTCTAGCAAACTAGGAAATCAGAAGAAATGTGGTTCGCCGCGTGGTAAATTGACGTGGCAAATACTTAGCAGTCAGTCACTTAGTTACCGACACTAGATTTTTTTCATCCTTTATTTTTTCATGTGTAGAGGATGAAAAAAAAATGTACATAACGATTGTAATAGGTTGCTTCGCAACCCAAAAAAAGTACGGTAATAAGACCCGGGTCTTATTAAAAACGTACATTTGTACCCCTCCCTCCCTCTCCCACCCACATTTTTATTGTGCGACCCTGTCAAGACGCGAGGGCCTTTTATCCTAGGCTTTACAAGAAGGATATCACTACCGTCAGTATCGAACTTCAAAACATGTACATGCACCGCAACTGGTCAGGAAACTGCCCTTTTTTGCGCATGTTTCATGAGATCAGTGTGCTTCTCATCAGTCATAATTGAGTTGGTGACTCGGTGCCGGATTGCGCCCCCAAACCACTAATATAATGTAGAACTTTTTATATGATCAAAACATGTATATGTAACTTGTCAAGAAACTGCCTAGCAATGCATCTTTGACCAAGTCACTGCGCGTCTCGTCAGTCATGATGGAGTTGAGCCAGCGGTGCCGGATGGCGCGTCCCGAGTGCCCGGTCAGCTCCCGGAAGGGCACCACTGCCACGTCGGCAACGTGCTGCGGCATAGCGAGCAGCACGTTGAGCCTCGGCTGCTCCCAGTTGCGCCTCCACAGGTACTGCCTGGCCGGCTCCTCGTGCCAGCTGGCAAGCAGCTGTGGGGGTTGCGGAATGGACGGAGTAATAAACGGGGACAGGGGCAGGGGAGAGGGGAGAGGGGAGAAGGGAGAGGTGAGACGAGGTACTGCCTCGCCGGCTCCGTGTGCCAGTTGGCAAGCAACTGTGAAGGGGGCGGGAGACAACGGGGTGGGGGATCGGAGGGAATGGGAGATAATTGAGTGAGGGGATAAGGGGAGGTTGGGAGTCAGTGGCAGGCTCGAGGCTTGTGTGCTCTGCGTCAGGGGGAATGTGCAGCCCCAGGGGCAGTGAGGGGGAATGTGCAGCCCCAGGGGCAGTGAGGGGGAATGTGCAGCCCCAGGGGCAGCAGCAGCAGCAGAAAGCAACAGGGAGCAGCAGCATCTTGAGGCAGTGGGGGGAGCGGCGCCACAGGGTGACCCCCGCGTTGACATACTCCATGCTGCCGTTAAACATCCCCATCAATCAACCCCCTTCCCCCTCCCCCATCCTCCGCAGTTTGAGACGTATCAAATCTCACCTTGAGGCAGTGCGGGGAGCGCCTCCAGAGTGTGACCCCCGCATTCACATACTCCATACTGCCGTTGAACAGCGCCCCCGCCCGCCCCTCCGCCATCCCCGACGCCTCATCATCGTTCCGCGGCGCCACCACACACACCGCCGCCCGGCTCTCCCCCTCCCCCCCTCCTCCACCTCCCCAATGCCCCCCCTCTCCTGCCTCGCCTTCTCCCCCACCCTGCCCAGTCCCCACAGGTGACGGGGGGCAGGCGGGAGGTGAGTGCGAGAAGATGGAGGAGGGGGGGCGCGGGAAGCAGGTCTGGTTGGCCAGCGAGATGTTGTAGTCACGGGCGATCCAGTCAAAGTAGTGCTGGGGGGTGGGTGGAGGAGGGGGAGAAGAGGTGAAAGAGTGAGAGGGGTGGAAAGGTGGGAGAAATGGTGGGAGACAGAATGGAAGACGGAGGAGCTCTGGTAGAGCATGAGAAGAGTTGGCCCTCCCAGGTCTCATGGGCAGTATGAAGCGGTCCCCTCATGAGTGCACATAGAGGCGTATGAAAGACACATGTCTCCCCTTCACCCATCCAGCTCAGCACCCATCCAGCCATGCACCCATCCAGCCATGCACCATCCAGCCATGCACCCATCCAGCATGCACCCATCCAGCCATGCACCCATCCAGCCATGCACCCATCCAGCCATGCACCAATCCAGCCATGCACCCATCCAGCCATGCACCCATCCAGCCATGCACCACGAGAAGGGTGAGGTGGTCGACCCAGCAGTGCACAGAGAGGCGGTGGTTGACCATGCGAAGAATGTTTGAAGCGCCAAAGTGAAACAAGGAAAGAGACTGATGGAAAAAAGCACGGCAAGGAGAGGTGGAGAGCAGTGTAGGATTGTGTTCGTCCCAGGTTGGTCGTAGAGGCAGAGTGAGTTGGTGCACCCAGCTGGGCACGGTAGAGGCGGTGGTTGGCCATGCGGATGGACGCGTGTGAGTCGGACAAAGGAAGCGCCTGACTCATGCACGCCTGGGGTGGCAGGCCTCACCGGCAGAGTCAGTCGATCCACCCAGCTTTTGATTGGCAGGCGGTGGCTGTCCATTCGGAAGTAGGCATCTGAGTCGAGGAAGGCAAGGGAGCGATTGATGCACATGAGGTGGCAGGCAGAAAAAACATGTGACTCGCAGGCAGGACTTACAGGCAGAGTCAGTCGATCCACCCAGCTTTGAATGGACAGGCGGTGGTTGTCCATGCGGAAGTAGGCGTCTGAGTCCAGGAAGAATGCCCACTTGCAGCAGCAAGACAGCTGGCGCTGTAAGAAACGCACCTGGGGCGGGGAGTTAGGGAGGCGGGGTGCGGGGATGGAGGATGAGAGGATAAGCGCACTTGCAGCAGGAGGACAGCTGGCACTGTAGGAAGCGCACCTGAGGCGTTAGGGAGGAGTGGGTATGGGGATGGGGGATGAGGGAATAAGCAAGGAGGGGTGCGGGGCGGGGTTTGATTTGAAGAGAATTGGGGGGAGATGGAGAATGGCCGTTGGCAGCAGCAGAAAAGTTGGAGAGAGCAGCGTGGGGTGAGGAGGGGGGGTGGCAGAATCCAGCATGTGAGGTGCCGCTTGGCATTCAACCAAAAATCATGACATCACGGTGCCGCTTGGCATTCAACCAAAAATCATGACATCACTGTGCGGCGCAGGGAAGACGAGGCACCTTGAACCACGAGGCACCTTGAACCATGAGGCACCTTGAACCACGAGGGGTGTCTGCCTGGGTCCTTGTCCGCCTCGCCCATCTCCACAAAGCGGTACCCGTGGCGCTGCGCATACGCCCTGTGGGTGGCCCATGCAGGAACAGGGAGGGGATGGAGGGGAGCAGCGGAGCAAGGAGTGAAGCGGGAGCGCACAGCGTGATGGTGAGCGCGGGAAACAAGAGAAATGGTGCCTGCCAGCCAGGGCGAGTGCCTGCCACAGCGAGTGCACCTGTAAGCCTGCCTGAACGAAGAGTCACATGAGAAAGCATAAGATGCAACAAGACTCTCCCTTGTATTCACGTCGCCCACCTGCTTACTTCGAATCCTACCCCCCTCCCCCCCGCTAACTCATTCCCCCAGATTGCTGTCTCATCCCACCTCACCGCTCACTTCGCGCCCCACCAGTTACTGAGCTGGGTGGCGAGGCAGAAGGGGAGCTCGCGCCCATGCGCTCTGGACGATTCGCTGCTCAACAATCCCCCGCCCCCCTTGCTGACTCACGCCCTTCCTATTGACTCACTCCCTGCTCACCGGTTGATGAGCTTGGTGGCGAGCCAGTACGGGAACTCGCGCCCATGCGCTTCAAACGAGTCACTGCCAGCAGCTCTTAGCGAGGATGCACTCAGGCGGCGGTCGTCCGCATACAAGACGCACCCCGGCAGGCCCCTCTCCAGGCGCTGCCTCTGTGGCTCCGCTGCATGGATGAATGGGGTGAATGCATGGGATGAGGTGTGGAATGGATGGGATGAGGTGTAGAATGGATGGGATTGTGGGAAGAGAGGTTGAAATGAAGTTGATGATGTGACAGAGAAACAAGGGGGTATACATAGTAATGGGGTTGGATGCTAGCCTAAGGTGCCATTATTGGACCCCAACCAAGAGGTTGGGTTGGGAGATTATTGGTGGGGTCCAATAATGTTGGCCAAGTTGGGGTTGGGCCAACATTATTGGAGGGGGCCAATAATTCTACCCAACCCAACCTTTTGGGGTCCAATAATTGGACCAAGGTTGGGTTCCAACCTACAAACTGGGTTACCCCTGTTTGTACACCCAAACTAAGTTTGGGTGCTTAACTCTAGCCTAACCTATAGCATATATGCAGGTTACAAGAGAAGAGGGATTCTAACACAACCCCTTAACCGGCAGAGATGCGGAAAGGCTTGAGGGAAGCAACCCCTGACTCAAGGCGCGCCTGGGGGAGCGAGGCCGATGAGGCGGAGAAGAGCAGAGTGCGCAGGGCGAAGAAGGGCTTTGGTAAAGATATCAGCCAAGTTGGCTGCAGCAGCGATCTTGCGAACGGCAATGAGGTTCTGGTGGACAAGGTCGCGGATGAAGAAATAGCGGAGCTCAATGTGCTTGGAGCGACCATAGAAGACGGGGTCCTGGGTGAGATAGATGGTGCTAGCGTTGTCGCACCAGAGCGTAGGACAGCGCTGGGGTGCTCCAAGCTCTGCCAGAAGAAAGCAGAGCCAGCGGGACTCTTGCGCGGCCATGGTGCCAGCATAGAGTTCAGCTTCGCAGGAGGAGAGGGCAATGGCAGAGGAGCGAGTAGAACGTCAGCTGATAAGCCATGCCGAGGTAGTTCTGCAGCGGACCAAGGTCCTTGCACTAGAGACGTTCCTGAAGTGACCGCTTGACTTGCTCCATGTCGGCTTTGGTGTCAGCGAGCTCATGTCGTCAACGTAGACCGAGATGAAGAAGCGACGGGGGGAAGAGCGGATGAAGAGGCTGGCATCAAAGTGGGAGGCGGAGAAACCAAGGGACTGGAGAGTGGCAGACAGCTTCGCATGCCATTCTCGTGGTGCCTGCTTCAGGCCATAAATAGGTCGCCGAAGTTGCCAGACGGTGTTGTCAGGAAAAGCAGCATGAAACCCGGGAGGTCGACGGAGGAAGATGCGCTCGTGCAGTTCGCCTTGCAGGAACGCGTTGGAGACGTCCATGGAGTCAATCTCCATGTCGTCACGCGCACCAATATCCATGAGGGTGCGTAGGGTGGCCTGCTTGACAGTGGGGGCAAATGTGAACCAGAAGTCTTCAGCCCAGGTCTGAGTGAACCCCTTGGCAACGTAGCGGGCTTTGTAGATCGGTTCTTCTCCCAGCAGCTGCTTGACTCGAAAGATCCACTTGCCCTCGACAAGGTTGGCGTCAGGGGGGAGGGGAACGTCAATGAAGGAGTCGTTGCGGATAAATGCCTCACATTCCAGGAAGATGGCGGCTATCCACTTGTCAGCGTCAGCGCATGTGATAGCCTCCTGGAAGGTGGAGGGGACGAAGATGGTGGGAGCGGAGATCGCGCTAAGGATTAGAGCGCCGAGGAGGCCAGGGTAGAGCGTGGTGAGAGAGGGAGTGTGGCGCTGGACCATGGTGAACTCCTCATGGGAATCCTCGAGCTGGTTGAGGGAGGGAGGCGGCGGTGTGCCAAGGATGGGATCGAGGGAGCGGGTGTGCATGCGAGGGAGGAGGAAGGGTGAGGAGCGGGCAATTGCCCTCTGCTGCTGCTGCTGCTGCTGGTGCTGCTGGAACTCCTACTGCTGTTGCGGCTGCTGCTCCTCCCGATGCTGCTGCCCCTGCTGCTGCTGCTGCTGCTGCTGCTGCTGCCCCTGCTGCTGCTGCTGCTGCTGCTGCTGCTGCTGCTGCTGCTGCTGCTGCTGCTGCTGCTGCTGCGGCGGCTGCTGCTGCGGCTGCTGCGGCTGCTGCCCCTGCTGCTGGGACGGAGGAGAAGGAGAGGGGGGGGGGGAGAGGAGGGAGGGGGGGCTGCGGAGTGTGCAGGGGATGCGGGAGCAGTGGGATCGTAGATGTCGGCAGATGAGGGTGGCGGAAGCGGAGTAGGGAGAGGTGGGAGAAGGGGTGCAGGAGGGAGGAGGGGAGGGAGCACAGTGTCGGTCCAGGTGAGAGGACGTGAAGGAGGAGGGAGGGGGTCTGGGGGTGAAGAGGAGTAATAGGGGGTGGTTTCGTCAAAGACGACGTCAATGCTGCGGATGAGGCGTCCAGAGGGAGGGTGAAGGAAGAGGTAGCCAGGCGAGTCGCGGTTGTGCCCGAGGTAGACACACTCGAGGGCGCGAGAAGCGAGCTTGCCGTGGGTGCGATCGGGTGGAGGGATAAGGACATATGCCTTGCAACCCCAGACACGGAGACCAGCGGCGTCAGGTTTGGTGCCCGACCAAAGCTCCGTGGGGGTGGTGGTGGTATGTTGGGGATGGGAGTGAAGGTTGAGGAGGAGGGCAGCATGGAGCAAAGCATAGCCCCAGAGGGAAGGGGGGGTTGAGGCGTGAGCGAGGAGACAGCGGGCGATCTTGGTGATTTCGCGAATCCGGCTTTCTGCGACGCCATTCTGCTGCGGGGAGTGGGGGAGGGTGTGAGTCTGTTGGATGCCATGGGTGGTGCAGTAATGGGAGAGAGTGCGATTGAGGAATTCGCCTCCCCCGTCAGAGTGTAGGCGGCCGATGGGACGCTTGAAGTGGGCGCGGCATTGCTCGGCCCAGTTGATGATCATGGTCGGCGCCTGGTCTTTCGTGTGGAGGAGAAAAATGGAGGAGTAGTGGCTGTGGTGGTCGACGAGGACCAGCATGTAGCGATGGCCCTGACGAGAACGAGTGGGGGAGGGTCCCCAGAGGTCCATATGGACGAGGTCAATTGGAGCGGGAGTGAAGGATGGGTGGCTGTGGTGGGGGGACTGTTTGAGTTTGCCGTGGATGCACGAGGGGCATGGAGGGGCTGGAGAGGAAGGGAGGGGGGGGAGAGTGGGAGGGAGGCCGTGAAGGAGGCGAGAGGTGATGGCAGTGCGGAGGGCGGCGAAATTGGGGTGGCCGAGACGGTGGTGGAGCAGTACAGCGGGGTGGGAGAGATGATCGGAGGTGGAGGGGGTTGGAGTGAGTGAGAGAGGGGGAGGTGACTGCTGCTGCTGCTGTTGCGGCTGCCGCTGCTGCTGCAGCCCCTGCTGCTGCCTCTGCGGCGGCTGCTGCTGCTGCTGTGGCTGCCCCTGCTGTGGGCGGCTGCTGCTGCTGCTGTTGCTGCGGCCCCTGCTGCTGCCTCTGCGGCGGCGGCTGCTGCTGCTGCTGCTGCTGCGGCCCCTGCTGGTGGCGTGGAGGTGAGGTAGGGGGATGGGGAGGGTTAGTGGAAGTGCCAGCACGGGTGGTGACATGGCAGAAGGATGGCCAAGGGGTGCGGAGAGTGTAGAGGCGAGTGCGGGGGCAGAGGGGAATGCGTAGAAGGAAGCGACCAGTGGCGGTGTGGTAGAGGTCACAGTAGGTGGCATTACCTGGATAGACGGCAGTGATACCTGCAGTTTGGATTTCACGGTGGGAGAGGAGGTTGTTTCGGAGGGTGGGGATGTGGAGACCAGTTACCTTACCAGAGGGGAAGAGTGTGCAGGGGAGAGTGGAGAGGTGTGTGCATGGGATGGTGAAGCTGCTGTCAGCGCCGTGAACGTGCGTGGGAGGAGAGAGGGGTGTGAGTGTACCAGCATCCTTGAGAGCGGTCTCAGTGGCCCCACTATCGAGGACAAAGTCCAGAGTGGGTGAGGAGGAGGAAGAGACGGAGTACTGGAAGGTAGTTTCATTAACGGTGGATGGGTACATGGAAGGAAGTGAGGGTGAGACAGCAATGTTGCCAAGAAAGCTCTCCTGGGTAAGAGGAGGGGCAGTGCTACTAGGGGGTGGAGCACCCCAAAGGGGGGACGGTGAGGCTTGAGCGGCTATGGCAGCTGTGCCAAAATTCAGCTGCTGCTGCTGCCAAGGAGGAGGGCTGGGTCCCCACTGGGGTAGGAGTCCAGTTCCCCATGGGTGCGGCTGGGGTTGCGGCTGCTGCTGCTGCTGTGGCTGCTGATGAAACAGCTGCTGCTGCTGCTGCTGTTGCTGCTGCTGCTGGTGCTGCTGCAGGAGGTGCTGCTGTTGGAGATTGAGGAGCGGTGTGGGGGGAACAAGGAGGCGGAGGTGGGCAGGGAGGTAAGCGGGGTTGGTTTGGATGTCGGCAAGGGAGGGACGTGGGGAGATCGTTCCCCACTTGGGAGGAGTGCCAACATTGCCCCGCACGTACCAGGCATCATCGAGAGCCTTGAAGCAAGTGCTAGGGGGATGGTTTGTCTGCCCGCAGGGTGTTCCAGCCCGGGGACCATAGCGACGGACATAGGTGCAGGGCGGAAGAGTGCCAGGACGACTTCCGCGGCCTGCAGAGGCTCCGCCCGAATTAGTGGTGCCATGCTCATCCCCAGTGGCGCCGCCACGGCTGTTTGTGCTGCCGTTGCCCTGACCGCCACCTCCCTTGCCCCCACCTCCCCCTTTGCCGTTGTTCCGAGCCTGCTTGCGGGGCTGGGTAGCGTTGAGGGAGGAGGAGGAGGGTTGGGAGGAGGCGAGGTTGACAATGGGGGTGCGAAGTTTGACTTCGGTGTCTATGATCCACTGCTCAACAGAGGCGAGATCGGCCATGGGATTGGCTTCGGTAAAGGCGTGAAGGCGTGATTCATAGTCTGGGGTGAGGTTAAACAGGAGGCGATGGATTTGGAGGGGTTCGGAGAGGCCAGCCTGGCGGGCTTCGAGGCGATCAGCTACTTCTCGCATACGTCCGACATAGTCGACCGCTCCGTCACATGTAGCGAGGGTGATTGAAAAGTACTCTTGAAAGAGGATGCCAACCGAGCTGATGTCGCGGCGCTCGAACATGGCATGGAGTTCGGCCCAAATGATCGAGGCACGGAATTCCCGAGCCTAGAAACGGCGCATAAGGGAGTCAGGGAGAGCCCCGAGGAGAACGGTGCAGGCGCGGGTGTTAGCAGCTGTCCAGGCGATGAGGCTTGGGGTAAAGGTAGCCAAGTCGTCGTTGTATTTGGCGACGACGGCAAGATGAGCATTGCGGCCAGCAACTGCCTGGTCATAGGCTTCAACTACTGCATCGTACTCAGCTTTGCGAATAAGGTATGCACGTCGTCGTAAGATGAAGTCTGCATCAGCGGTGGCTTGGTCGACGGTGAGTTGGAGGTCGGGTTCACGAGGAGAATCGCCAGGAGAGGGAGGGAGAGGAGGGGTCTCGCCGGGGTGGTCAGGAGCGGTGGGGGGGGGAGAGCATGGGGACGGCGGAGGATGACGTCAAGGACGCGGTAGGGGGGAATAGGGATGAGCAAGGTGGCGAACACCTGTTCGGTTCGCCTCGAACGGGTTTCGTTTTTTAGCTCAAATCGTTCGCCGAACAGTGTTCGATGTTCGCCCGAACACGTTCGTGTTCGGGCCGCTGCTGAAATTTGCCCGCGACGAACACGAACAGTGTTCGAGGTTCGCCCGAACACGCCTCCACAGGCGAACAGCGAACACCTGTCTTTTCCTAAACTGTTCGCCGAACCGAACAGTGTTCGGTTCGGCAAAAGAGGGTGTTCGACAAGGGGCGAAGACGAACATGTTCGTGTTCGCCCTTTGCTCATCCCTAGGGGGGAACCCATGTATCGGAGAGAACTCGACGAATGCTGCCGATGAAGGAGTGCCAGTTGACGGCGGATTTGTCCGCGGCGAGTTGCAGCTTATCGATAGAGGAGGTATCAATAGGAGGAGGGAGGGGGGAGGGTGTGGCGTGAGCCATGATGGACGGCCGCGGGTGGACCCGCAGTGGTCCCGGAGGGGCGTGAGGAGAGGTGGAGACGAGGCCGCGTAGGGGAAGGGCGCGGGCGGCAGCGGCTGTTAAGGCCGCGGGACGCTGGCGCGGAGGCGGCGTCGAGGCCGCGGAGGGGGAGGGCGCTGGCAGCGACGGCTGGCGAGGCCGCGGCGGCGCTGGCGCGGAGGCGGCGGCGAGGCCGCGGAGTGGCGCGGGCGGCGGCTGGCGAGGCCGCGACGAGGCGCGGAGGCGGCGTCGAGGCCGCGGAGGGGAAGGGCGCGGGCGGCGGCGGCTGGCGAGGCCGTGGCGGTGCTAGCGCGGAGGCGGCGGCGAGGCCGCGGAGTGGCGCGGGTGGCGGCTGGCGAGGCCGCGGCGAGGCGCGGAGGCGGCGTCGAGGCCGCGGAGGGGAAGGGCGTGGGCGGCGGCGGCTGGCGAGGCCGCGGCGGCGCTGGCGCGGAGACGGCGGTGAGGCCGCGGAGTGGCGCGGGTGGCGGCTGGCGAGGCCGCGGCGAGGCACAGAGGCGGCGTTGAGGCCGCGGAGGGGAAGGGCGCAGGCGGCGGCGGCGGCTGGCGAGGCCGCGGCGGCGCTGGCGCGGAGGCGGCGGCGAGGCCGCGGAGTGGCGCGGGCGGCGGCTGGCGAGGCCGCGGCGAGGCGCGGAGGCGGCGTTGAGGCCGCGGAGGGGAAGGGCGCGGGCGGCGGCGGCTGGCGAGGCCGCGGAGGGGAAGGGCGCGGGCGGCGGCGGCTGGCGAGGCCGCGGCGGCGCTGGCGCGGAGGCGGCGTCGAGGCCGCGGAGTGGCGCGGGCGGCGGCTGGCGAGGCCGCGGCGAGGCGCGGAGGCGGCGTCGAGGCCGCGGAGGGGGAGGGCGCGGGCAGCGGCGGCTGGCGAGGCCGCGGCGGCGCTGGCGCGGAGGTGGCGTCGAGGCCACGGAGTGGCGCGGGCGGCGGCTGGTGAGGCCGCGGGGAGGCGCGGAGGCGGCGTCGAGGCCGTGGAGGGGAAGAGCGCGGGCGGCAGTGGCTGGGGAGGCCGCGGCGGCGCTGGCGCGGAGGCGGCGTCGAGGCCGCGGAAGAGAGTGGTGCGGGCTGCAGCGGCTTGGGAGGGTCGTGGAGCTGTGGAGGAAAAAGGGCGCTAAAGGGGGAGAGGAAGGCGGGGGGATAGCCGAGAGGGAAAAAAAAAATTAGGGAAGAGGCTGGGGGTTGCGGCGGCCAGGTGGGCTTTTTTTTTTTTGAGAGAGGAGTAGGCCTAGGAATGACAGCTCTATACCATGTGGGAAGAGAGGTTGAAATGAAGTTGATGATGTGACAGAGAAACAAGGGGGTATACATAGTAATGGGGTTGGATGCTAGCCTAAGGTGCCATTATTGGACTCCAACCAAGAGGTTGGGTTGGGAGATTATTGGTGGGGTCCAATAATGTTGGCCAAGTTGGGGTTGGGCCAACATTATTGGAGGGGGCCAATAATTCTACCCAACCCAACCTTTTGGGGTCCAATAATTGGACCAAGGTTGGGTTCCAACCTACAAACTGGGTTACCCCTGTTTGTACACCCAAACTAAGTTTGGGTGCTTAACTCTAGCCTAACCTATAGCATATATGCAGGTTACAAGAGAAGAGGGATTCTAACAGGGATGAGGTGTAGAATGCATGGGATGAGGTGTAGAATGGATGGGATGAGGTGTAGAATGGATGGGATGAGGTGTAGAATGCATGGGATGAGGTGTAGAAAGCATGGGATGAGGTGTAGAATGGACGGGATGAGGTGTAGAATGCATGGGATGAGGTGTAGGATGGATGGGATGAGGTGTACAATGGATGGGATGAGGTGTAGGATGCATGGGATGAGGTGTAGGATGCATGGGATGAGGTGTAGAATGGATGGGATGAGGTGTAGGATGCATGGGATGAGGTGTAGGATGCATGGGATGAGGTGTAGAATGGATGGGATGAGGTGTAGAATGCATGGGATGAGGTGTAGGATGCATGGGATGAGGTGTAGAATGGATGGGATGAGGTGTAGGATGCATGGGATGAGGTGTAGAATGGATGGGATGAGGTGTAGAATGCATGGGATGAGGTGTAGGATGCATGGGATGAGGTGTAGAATGGATGGGATGAGGTGTAGAATGCATGGGATGAGGTGTAGAATGCATGGGATGAGGTGTAGAATGGATGGTGGACGAGTAATGAGAGGATGCAGAAAGGCGGCAGTCGTTGGCATACAGGACGCACCCCGGCAGGCATCTCTCCAGGCGCTGCCGCTGTGGCTCCGCTGTTTGGAGAGGTGAGGGCGACACAAAGTGCATAGGGGGAAAATTTGACGGATGCACATTAGGAAGGGGGAGGGGAAAGGGAGTTAGGATGGGGAGGGATGGGGTGAGTGCGGGAGATGCTAGGCGGAAGGGGAATGAGCACGGGGAGGAGGAAGGGGGACGCAAGGGGCATGGGGCAATGGGCAGGCGGCATGGGGTGGCGGCGGCATGGGCATGGGGTGGCGGCATGGGGTGGCGGCATGGGGTGGCGGCATGGGGTGGCGGCATGGGCGGCGGACGGGGAGCAGCGGGCACGGTGCAGAGGTCAGGGGGCACGGTGCAGAGGTCAGGGGGCACGGTGCAGAGGTCAGGGGGCACGGTGCAGAGGTCAGGGGGCACGGTGCAGAGGTCAGGGGGCACGGTGCAGAGGTCAGGGGGCACAGCACAAGGGCGGGCGGCAGGCGGCTCACACTTGAGTCGTCGAAGCGCGGCGAGCAGCATGGTGGTGGTGGCATCGGCGCTCTGCTCCTGCGCCTCCTCCCACCGCCCCACCTCCTCCTGCCCCGTTGCGTGTCGTGGCGGGTGGGGGCATGGGCGGGTTCGTGCATGGAGAGTGCGTGCATGGGCGGGTGGGTGCATGGGAGAGGCAGGCAAGGGGAATGAGGTGAGTGGGGCACGGGCAGCAGACAGGGCAATGGCAGAGAGGAGAAGTAAGAAAGAAGGGAGGGCAGGTGTCAAGTGCAGCAGGCGGGGCGCGGTGCCTCAATTCCCATGGCGGGCGTGGGAGGTGAAGGAAAGAGCGCGCAGGGCGGAGAGGAGTACAGGGCGGTGGACAGGGGTTGGTGCAGGAATGAGGGCGGGGCGGACGACAGGGCGCGGGACATGCGTAGAGAGGGACTCTTACGTAGGGGCGGGGGGGAAGGAAGCGGAGGAGCGCGGAGAGAAGCGCGAGCAGGGCGAGCAGCGGCAGCGCGGAGTCGAGGAATCCGCGCAGGAACGCGGCGGCGCCGCGCATGGCGCCGCTGCGGGAGGCCGTGCCGCCCGCCAGAAGCGCGAATGGCGGAGTGGAGGAGAGGGAAGTCGTCGGGGGTTCCGCGCGGAGCTCCGGCGCCGGAACAAAGCGCGCAGCGGCGGAGAAGAGGCGGGATAGGCGTGAGGGGCTCTCCTGGGGAGACGAGAGGCGGGAAGAGCACGAGAGTGATTTGGCAGAGGAGGAGCCGCAGAGAAAAGCCGAGGATCGATAAGATTATGTTCAAAATGCCGTCACGGGAAAGTCGTGCAAGTCTGTCGCGGTTCTGCGACACTGTCGCTGCTCAATTGCGCTAAAAAACGGGTCGCTGTAGGGGTCGCTTAGGACGCGTCACCTGCCTCGATCGATCCTGCGCAGGATCGAATTTTGATTCGGTTCAAAAAGTTTCAAATAAATTTGAATGCAACACGCGGGATTTAAGTGCGGTGTAAGATCGATCTTCCTTGATTTTGCACGATCGATCGAGGGAGGTGCGCGTCCTTAGTACCGACACAGAGATAGATACAGGTGGTTACAGTGCGGTGGCGGATCGACACTCCGTTTCGACCCTTGATCTTGGTACTTGTCTGCCTTCGTGTCCTGGGTGACTGGTTTGCACACTGGTCCAAACAAATGACACCGTAAGTCCGGTTTATTGAAACCGGGAACGACACCAAGGGCGATTATTTTGTGTAGTTCCTTCCAAACCTCACTGTACTCCACGCAGAACAGGCAATCCGCGTCTCGCCTCAAGCGAAAGTGCGTAGTCCGTCCCACTAGTGGCGACAACTATCCTTTCGCCGCTAGCGCGGCTGGATTCATAGCGAACTGGGATGTGCGCAACCGACCCCCACCACAAGTTCGCAGATTTCGCAGCATGCGGTTGGGATCATTTTCTGACACCGCGATAAATGCACCTCCCTTTCACAACACCACGACACACACAGCAACCATCTTCACGTCTGCTGGGCTGAAGGTTGAAGCACTCGTTTGTTGTCCTGCTTGCGTGTCTCACCCCTTCACCTCTATCCTCAAGCCTTGCCGCCCCGTGCAGCCTCGGATAGATTAGCAGCCTGCTTCACCTCTACCAGCATTAGGGTTTTCTTCAGTATTTTCGGGCCATTCCAGCAAACCTTCTGCGGTGCAAATTCCGCACTCCAGCAGGCTCGACGCGTGTCGCGACCTCGCCACTCGTCATCCAACTCGCTAGCTCTCACGCGTTCTCGCGTCGCGATCGCACTGGCTTTTGGAGAGTTCCTTAGGCAACGCATCTTGCGAGCGCCGATTGCATGCGGGCCGTGGCCGGCCGACAATGGCGATGCTAGAGAAGGCGAGCCCGGCAGAGGGAGTGAGCGCTTCCGCCAGGTCTTCCCCCGGGACTTCCGCCGTCCTTCCGCCGTCGGCCCTTCCGTCGGTTCTTCCGCCATCGATCGTTCCGCAGTACGAGCGACTGTTTTTTGCGTCGAGGGCTTTAGGCGAGGATGAGGGGACAGCGCGGGTTTTAGGCGGAGCGGACGGCACAGCGCAGGTTTTAGGCGGAGCGGACGGGACAGCGCGGGATTCAATAGGAGCTGACGAGACAGCTCGGGATTTAGGAAGAGCGGACGGAACAGCGCGGGTTTTAGCCGAGCGGAAAGGGGCAGCGAGGGGTTTAAACGGGCGACGACATCGATCAGCTTGTAGTGCAGAACGAAGCCGCCTTGTCACGCGCTGATGCTGATCGGATCGCCACAGTCAGTGAACGCGCTGCGGTCAATGAACGCGCTACAGCCGACCTGGGCGCTACAGCCGATCGGGCTGCTACAGCCTCTCACGACGACGACAATTTAGCTGGGCGGGAAGCTACAGTAATGCACCGCGATGCTGCTGCAGCGAAAGGAGCAGATAGTAGTCGTGAAGATGCTGTCACGAGGGATGCCATTGTCGAAGGTGAGACTACCGTGACGCACGTTGTCACTGAGGCGCGCGGAGATGCCCGTACAATAGCGAGAATGCCACTAACGAGTCCGATCATTGACTTGACGCTAGAGGGGAGCGACACGTCTGACGTAGAGCATGCACGGGCTGACGTTAGCGCCGCCAGAGCTGACTTGGAGAACACTGGGGCTGACGTAAGCGATACAAGGACGGGCGTGGAGGAGTCTAGAGTCCCCATGAACATGGAAAGTACAAGGGCTGATGGCGTGGAGCAGTCAACGGCTGACGTGGAAACGACATCGGCTGACGTGGAACAGTCAACGGCGGACGTGGAAGCGAAGAGAGCCAAGGTGGACGAGGCAAGGACAGACGAGCAGGCCAGAGGGGGCGGGGAGGCTATGAGTGGTGTAGGGGCGGAGACACGGGATGAGCGCGAGGAGCGAGCAGGTGAGGCGACGGCAGGCAAGACAACGTCAGGTGGTGAAATGGCAATGGGGGCTGCGGAGTACGCTGGGGCGAGGGAAGGGGAGAGGGGAGCGGATGGGGCGGAGAAGATTGGCAAAGGGAGGAGAAAGAAAGGACGCCGAGAGGGGAGAGGAGAGGAGGAGGGGACGATGACAGTGGCAGGCGAGGGACAGGCGGAGGCGTTGGAGGGCGGGCAGAATGAAAACCAGGAGGACGGGCAGGAGAGGAAAAAGAAAAGGAAGAAGAAGTGGAAGGGCAAGGGAGCAGAAGGAGCAACGGGCGATGGCGCAGCAGCGAATCAACTGCAGGGCGACCAGTCGGAACCCCAAGAGAAGGCCCAGTCAGAGCCTCAGTGGAAATCGGAAGCAGCAGGCGAGGCAGGGGGGGACGCAGGCGGGGAGAGCGTGGAGATGCGGCGGCTGCTACGGCTGCCACGTTACTTCACACCGGCCGAGGGGCAGCACCAGTGCTACCTCTGTGGCCTCGTGCTCGCCGGGCCCCTTCCCCACGTCTGCCAGGGCGTGCAGCAGGGGGACGGGGGTGAAGGGGGAACTGGGGGAAGGGCGGGGGAGGGCGAGGGCGAGGGGAGGGGTGTGCTGCGTGTGTGGGGGGTTGGGGCATTCGGAGCGGCGGTGCCCCGAGAGGGTGATGTGTGTGCGCTGTGGGCAGCCGGGCCACGTGGTCAGGCACTGCCCCTCCCGCACGTGGACCCGGGCGCAGGGGGCGGCTGGTGATGGCGGGGCGCAAGGGCGCTCACGGTGGCCGTGGTGCTGCTGGTGGTGGGGGTGGGGATAGTACCGTTGCTGCTACTGGCGATGGTGGCACTGCTGCTGCGGGCGGAGAGAAAAAGGGCTGAGGTTGATGAGGGGGGCGAAGGCGGAGGGGGAGGGGGCGCAGAGGGGAGGGAGGGAAGGGGGGGCAGCGGAGTGCATGCGGTGTGGTGGGGAGGGGCACGTGTTTGGGGAGTGCTGGCAGCCGTATGACCCCGCTGACCTGGCGAGGGTGCAGTGCCACGTGTGCCTGCAGTGGGGCCACCTGGCGTGCGCTGACCTGGCAGACCCGCCGCCCAAGCCGTCGTGCTGCTGCTGTGGCGCCAGGGGACACCACGGCGAGGTGAGCGGCAGCATGAAGGTGCGGGGAGAGGTGGGGGGGGGGGGGGGGGGGGGGGGGGGGGGGGGGGGGGGGGGGGGGGGGGGGGGGGGGGGGGGGGGGGGGGGGGGGGGGGGGGGGGGGGGGGGGGGGGGGGGGGGGGGGGGGGGG